ACTGAGGATGTTTGCTGAAGGGTTCCTAATCCAAATACCCCATTCCAGCTTCTCAATCACTGAACTGTTTCTGCCTCTGCCTGGATGTTTTTCCTAAGGAAAGCCCAACTCGGCTTTAATAGAGGCCAGAGCTCTATGGAAAAGGGAACAATCCTTTATCAGCCAATGGAAATAAACTAGGTCTTCTCCCATTCCTATTCCTGCAACTGAATTCCCTGTGAGCACGCTACGGCACACGGGCACCTCTTCCTTCCCGTGGGATGGGGAGGAACGAAGCCTTGCGAACCCAGCTGGGGCATTCCCATCAAGGAAAAAGCCTTGCATTCAGAAGCCACAAACTGCAGGGAATTCACTGGGAAAGGCTGGGATGGAAAGGAAAGCAATGGAGGAGCTCAGAGCTTTCCCAGCCTCATCCTGCTCTCCGGAGCTGATGGAGCAGGAGGCTTCCAGCCCTTGCCTACCCCAGGGCTCTGCTCCCTTCCAGGCCTTTCACACCACAACCTCGTGCCCTGCCTCTAGCCCAGAACAAACCAAGAGCCGTGCCCATGACACCGTGGCCCAGTGGGCACAGGCACTGGGCAGCGATGGAACCAGGCCCTATGAAGCTCCCCCCCCTCACACACACACACAGGGGCTGCTACTCCCTTCCCTTTGCTCCATTCAAAGCCTTTCCAAGCCCCTTTCCTCTGCCCCCCCCAGGGCCTCATCCAGCTCTGCCCCCCAGAGCCGCTGCTCCCCCAACACCCCCCCCATAACCAGGCCCTGCTCCCCCCCTCCAAGCCCCAGCCCTCACCCACCCCTACCCGCTCCTCCAAGCCGGCCTCGCACAAGGCCCCGAAGGCCGGGGGTGCCCCACACCCCCTCAGGCTCTCCCCTCCGCCCCAAAGCCACGTCCCCCCCCCGCTTCCCATCACCCCCGACTCCTTCATTCCCCCCCCCATGTCCCGCTCTTGACCCCCCCAAACCAACCCCGCACCAGGCCCCCCCACACCCCCGGCCCGGCCCGGCCCGGCCCGGCCCAGGCCCCCACCTCGCGCACGGAGGCGCCGTCCGCGATGACGATCTCCTCCTTGTCCTTAGGGGTCTTCACGGTGACGCGGATGAGAGCCCCGCCGGGGCCCGCCTCGCTCTCCCCACCGGGGCCGGGCCCTCCTCCTCCTCCTCCTCCTCCTCCGCCGCCGCCGCCGCCGCCGCTCGGCTCCGCCATCTTCGCCGCCCGCCCCGCCAGACCGGGCCGCCGACACAGAGACGTGGAGAGAGAGCGGCGCCACGGCCCTCCCCCCGCCACCACCTGCGCTCCCGAGATGGCAATACTGCCCCCTGGCGGACCGGCGGGAACCTGCCGTGCCGCGGGGGCTTAAACGGGAGGAACGGGAGGTCGTGATGCGGATTCATCCTGCATCCCCCAGGAGCTGGATCCATGTTGACCCCAGCCCACCCACCTGTTGACCCCCATGAGCTGGATCCATCCTGCACCCCCATTACTGGATAACCGTTGAAACCCCATGAGCTGGATCCATCCTGCACCCCCATTACTGGATCCATGTTGAACCCCCATGAGCTGGATCCATCCTGCACCCCCATTACTGGATCCATGTTGAACCCACATAAGCTGGATCCATCCTGCACCCCCATTACTGGATCCATCCTGCACCCCCATTGCTGGATCCATCCTGCACCCCCCAGGAGCTGGATCCATCCTGCACCCCCCATGAGCTGGATCCATCCTGCACCCCCATTACTGGATCCGTGTTGAACCCCCATGACTGCATCCATCCTGCACCCCCATTACTGGATCCCTGTTGAACCCCCATTGCCTGCCTCCATCCCGCACCCCTTTAATGGGGGCTGCACCCCCACAGCTCCCTCCATCCCGCACCCCCTTTTCCAGGTCCTCCCCTTCCCTAACGCCGCTCCCAGCGCTCCCAGTCCCGGCCGGGGCTGGACCCCGCTCCTCGGGGCTCCGCCGCCCTCCACCGTGGCCCCGGGGACCGAGCTTGGGGTTATCCGGTCTCTCCCCCCCCCGGCCCTGGGGACCCAGGCCTCGGGCTCCGGGGCACCGGGAACTACGAGTCCCGGCGTGCTCCGAGGCGAGCCCGGCTCCGCCCTGCCCCGGCCCCGGCCCCGGCGCTGTCGGGGAGCGGAGCGGCCGCGGCCATGCTGCGCCCCAAGGCCCTCACGCAGGTGCTGAGCCAGGCCAACACCGGCGGCGTCCAGAGCACGCTGTGAGCGGACCGGCACCGGCACCGGCACCGGGAGGGGCTGCGGGGGGAGCGGTGCTGGGCGGGGGGGCGGTGCAGGGAGATGGGGAGGTGAGGGGTGCGCAGTGATGGGGAGGTGCGGGGTGATGGGGAGATGCAGGAAGCACAGTGCGGGGTGATGGGGAGATGCAGGGAGCACAGTGCGGGGTGATGGGGAGATGCAGGGAGCACAGTGCGGGGTGATGGGGAGATGCAGGGAGCACAGTGCGGGGTGATGGGGAGATGCAGGGAGCACAGTGCGGGGTGATGGGGAGATTCAGGGCACTGGGAGATGCAGGGAGCACAGTGTGGGGTGATGGGGAGATGCAGGATGCACAGTGTGGGGTGATGGGGAGATGTAGGATGTGCAGTGTGGGGTGATGGGGAGGTGCGGGGCATTGGGGAGATGCAGGGAGCGCAATGCCAGGTGATGGGGAGATGCAGGGTGTGCAATGTGGGGTGATGGGGAGATGTGGGATGCCACAGTGCTGGAGCTGTGCACAATGCCAGGACCATGCACGATACATGGTGCACAGTGACAGGACCATGCATGGTACATGGTGCACAGTGACAGGACCATACATGGTACATAATGCATGGTGGCACCAGGACCATGCATGCACGGTACTTGCCCACCAGGCTCATGCCTGCTCTGCACTGGGTCCTGCTGCTGCCACAGATGCAGCCACCGCATCAGTGCTGGGCTTGGGGGGGCTGTGATGGGGTCCGGTACCCTGTTGTGTTTAGAGGCACCAATCCACCCCCCACATACACCCCACATCTCATTTACAGGCTCCTGAACAACGAGGGGTCCCTGCTCGCCTACTCGGGCTATGGGGACACCGATGCCAGGGTCACCGCGGCCATCGCCAGCAACATCTGGGTGGCCTATGACAAGAACGGGCACCAGGCATTCAATGAGGACAACCTCAAATTCATCCTCATGGACTGCATGGTACGTGGGGCTGGGGACCCGGCCACCAGCGTGGCTCTGGGATCCCCCGGGATCAAGCTTTGGGTGCGATGGGTGCTGTTTCTCCCTGGGCAGGAGGGGCGAGTGGCCATCACGCGGGTGGCGAACCTGCTGCTCTGCATGTATGCGAAGGAGACAGTTGGATTTGGGATGCTGAAGGCCAAGGTAATGCTGGCAGGGAGGGGGCCAGAGGGGCACAGGGCCGTGTCTGTGCTATGGGGTGGGAATGAGTGGATTAAGGTGAGGATGGGAGTGATGGAGGAGCCACTGTAGAATGGAATCACAGAAAGGGTTGGGTTGAAGGGACCCTAAAGCTCATCTAAAGCCACAGGCAGGGACCCCTTCCACTGGAGCAGGGTGCTCCAAGCCCCTGTGTCCAACATGGCCTTGAGCACTGCCAGGGATGGGGCATCCAAGCCGTCCCCATTAAACCCATCCCAGTGTCCCAAAACCCTCACAGGGAAGAGCTTCTGCCTAAAATCCCATCTCCATCTCCCTTCTGTCAGGTTAAAGCCATTCCCTTTATCCTGTCCCTGCATCCCTGCATCCCAAGCCCCTCTCCAGCTTTCCTGTAGCCCCTATACAATGCAATACGGACTAACAGAAGCACATGTTAGGGTGTGGGGTGTGGGAACCCCCCCGTCCCTATTCACACCACCCTCCACTCACAGGCACAGGCGCTGGTCCAGTACCTGGAGGAGCCGCTCACGCAAGTGGCCGCATCCTGACCGCAGGAGCAGCGCTTGGAGATGCCACCACGTGAAGGCCGGTGCTGATCACTGACCCCAGAGCTCGGGGTGCCCTTGCAAAGGTGTGGGGAGGAATAAAAGTGAATAAATAAAGGAATCAATATTGTGTCCAGTTCTGGGCCCCTCAGTTCCAGAAGGACAGGGACCTGCTGGAGAGAGTCCAGCGCAGGGCACCTGAGATGATGAAGGGAGTGGAGCATCTCCCTTATGAGGAGAGACTGAGGGAGCTGGGTCTCTATAGTTTGGAGGAGAGGAGACTGAGGGGTGACCTTATTAGTGTATATAAATATATAAAGGGGGAGTGTCCCGAGGCTGGAGCCAGGCTCTTCTCAGTGGCAAACAATGATAGGACAAGGGGCAATGGGTACAAACTGGAACACAAGAGGTTCCACTTAAACTCCTTCTCAGTGAGGTGCCAGAACACTGGCCCAGGCTGCCCAGGGAGGCTGTGGAGTCTCCTTCTCTGGAGGCATCAAAACCCACCTGGATGCATCCTTGTGTAACCTTATCCGGGTGTTCCTGCTCTGCAGGGGGATTGGACTGGATGATCCTATGAGGTCCCTCCCAATCTCTAACATACTGGGATACTGTGTCTGTGATGCTTGCGGCCTTTGTGTCTTCTTGTGACCGAATGGAGCTGGAGGGGGGCTTTGGGGCGAGAAGGGTCCGTGGCAAGGGGAGTGGGGTCCAACAGAGCCCCCTCCCCAGCCGCACTGGGGCCATGGGGGCAGCGGGGGCTCTTCCCCTTCGCGTTCTCTCCATCATTCACACGATGGCAGCAGAGACAAGGAAACGCGCTCAGAACCCATTGGAGCGCGGACGGAGGGAGAAGGGGGGGGGGGGGGTCTCGTCCTTGCCCTGCTCGCCCCACGCCGGTGCCAGCAGCCCGGCCCCAGCTCCTCCTCCGGCCGTCCCATGGGTGCCATTACCTGCCCGCCCTGCGCGGCGACACCCGGTCCCACCCCTCGAGTCAGGGCGGTTGCGTTGCGCTGCGGGCCCCGCACCGCAAAGGAAACTTTGCTCCTTCCACCTCCCATCGGTGGCTCCGGGAGCCGCCGGCTTTGGGAAGCAGGAATCGGGGCGCCATGGGCAGCGCGGAGGAGGATTATAACTTCGTCTTCAAGGGTGAGCGCAGGGCTCGGGGTGCGCAGAAGGGATGGAGCAGGGATGGGGAGCGGGGGCTTCAATGGGTGCCGGCCCCACTCACGCAAACTGTGGTGCGGAGCGGCTCGGCCGCTGCTGGGTGCACTGGGAGCTGTGAGGGGTCAGCGGGCAGGATCCGGCCCCCGGTGTGTCCCCAATGAGGTCAGGGCTGGGGGCGCCTCCAGGGTCCATGGGGGTGCAAGGAGGACCCCACACTGCGGCCCTATGAGGGGGAGTGAGCCCATTGAGCAGGGTGCCTAAAGGTCATTTGGGTGCGGGTGGTGGCACGTGGAGGACACGGGGGTCAGGCCTGGGCTGGAGAAGCAGGGGCCCAGCCTTGTGTCCTGGGTGCCACCAGCTGGACCTTGGGGCTCCCCTGGGGCAAGGAGCGATGGAGTGGGTGCCCATGGCAGTGGGGTGACCCTCACCCTGCTGCTGCCAACAGGTCCTGGTGGCATTGACCCACATCAAACAGTGCTGGGAGCACTGGAGCAGGATGCTCCAAGCCCCTGCATCCAACCTGGCCTTGAGCACAGGGATGGGGCAGCCACAGCTCCTCTGGGCACCCTGTGCCAGCGCCTCAGCACCCTCACATCCCTATCCACATTATACATTCCATGATGTCTATGGTCATCACTGCCCAGGCAATGGGGGATGCCCGTGCACCCTGTGCCAGCGCCTCAGCATCCTCACATCCCTATCCACATTATACATACCCAGCGGGGTATGTTCCATGATGTCTATGGTCACCACTGCCCAGGCAATGAGGGATGCCCGTGCACCCCGTGGCAGTGCAGATGCCACCCTGCCAAGGCAACAATCCTCTGGCTGGCCTGGCTCAGGTTAACAGGATTCCTTGGAGCAGCCTTTCCCCCTCCTCGGCCGTTCCAATGGGATTCCTCCCTTCCTTCCACAGTCGTCCTGATCGGGGAGTCTGGGGTGGGCAAAACCAACCTGTTATCCCGCTTCACCCGCAACGAGTTCAACCACGACAGCCGCACCACCATCGGCGTGGAGTTCTCCACGCGCAGCATCCTGGTGGGAGACTCCGTGGTGAAGGCACAGATCTGGGATACGGCCGGGCTGGAGCGGTACCGCGCCATCACCTCCGCGTAAGGATGCGAGACCCAAAGCAGGGCTGCTCGTGGTACCCGAGTGATGGAGATGATGGGACGGGGGGATGATGATGTTCACATGGAGCTATGGGGTGATGCTGAGGCTCTCCCACAGGTATTACCGGGGGGCTGTGGGTGCCCTGGTTGTCTTTGACATCACCAAGCACCAGACGTACGATGTGGTGGAGCGGTGGCTCAAGGAGCTCTATGACCACGCTGAGCCCAGCATCGTGGTCATGCTGGTGGGGAACAAGACTGACCTGGCACAGGCTCGGGAGGTGCCCATGGAGGAGGCAAGGATGTTTGCAGGTACAGGATGGCACCTTGCTCTAAGGACTGGGGGGGCTTGGGGACCCCCCCGACAGCAGGGACCTGCACCCCAACATCTCCAAAGGGGCTCCAGTGCAGAGCTGTGCCCTGGCCGGGCTCCATCAGCTCCTCTCATTGCAGACAACAACGGGCTGTTGTTTGTGGAGACCTCAGCGCTGGATTCCACCAACGTGGAGCAGGCGTTTGAGACCATCCTGACGGGTACATGCACCAGCACCGTGCTGCACCGGGGTCCTGGGTACCAGCACCTTGGGGGACCCTCACTGGGTCTCTACAGTGCTTCTCCTCCACCCTGCCCTGCAGCAGCCCTTTGGGGGTGGTTTCTGGTCTTTCTGGCTGGTTTGGTTCCATGCTCTCCTCTTGGGCGTTCCACTTGGAGCTCCCTTGGCTTTGTTCTCCCGGCCCCTTGGGCACTCAGCATTTCCGGGGGGGGGGGAGCTCCTTCTTCCCCTGTAATCTCTGGTTTCCCTTCCTGTTATCCTGAGCTCCTGACTCAACGTCTCCAGCATGCTGCAGAACCGGCCATGGGGAGATGGGAGCACAGGGATGGAGCTGGGGCAGGAGGGCAGGGAGATGGGGGCACAGGGATGGAGCTGGGGCGATGCTCCTGCAGGAGCACCCTTCCATGCACTGGGGCAGGAGGGCAGGGAGATGGGGGCACAGGGATGGAGCTGGGGTGATGCTCCTGCAGGAGCACCCTTCCATGCACTGGGGCAGGAGGGCAGGGAGATGGGGGCACAGGGATGGAGCTGGGGCGATGCTCCTGCAGGAGCACCCTTCCATGCACTGGGGCAGGAGGGCAGGGGGATGGGGGCACAGGGATGGAGCTGGGGTGATGCTCCTGCAGGAGCACCCTTCCATGCACTGGGGCAGGAGGGCAGGGAGATGGGGGCACAGGGATGGAGCTGGGGTGATGCTCCTGCAGGAGCACCCTTCCATGCACTGGGGCAGGAGGGCAGGGGGATGGGGGCACAGGGATGGAGCTGGGGTGATGCTCCTGCAGGAGCACCCTTCCATGCACTGGGGCAGGAGGCCAGGGGGATGGGCTGTGCCGTGCCATGCCCCAGCATGGGATGAAGCCCTCCTCCAGGTTGGGCAAGAGGAAATTGCCCCAGCGCACGCAGGGTGTTCCCCAGGCGCCGCAAGGATGCGGTTGGGAGGGAGCTGCCTCCTTGTAACCCCTGAGCTCACAGCGGGGAAGCAGCGGCACCGGTCCGAGGGTGAGCAATGAGCAGCGGCCCCTCTTCACCCCTTGTTCTGCAGAGATCTTCCGCAAGGTGCAGCAGCAGAAGCAGAGGAGCGCCCAACCCCACACGGTGGCACTGGGCAGCGGGAGCCCCGGCAGCGCGGCCGCGGCGCAGGAGGAGAAGCGCCCGTGTTGCGTGGCCATCTGAGGTGCGCACGCACCCCCGGGGCCCCCCAGGACAGCGCAGTGATGCAGAGCCGGGTCTGCCAGGACCCCCTGCCCAGCCATGGGAGCCTCTGCGACCGCATGGGGCTGCTCCTATGGGGCTGCGTCCCCAGGATGTGGGTGTCCGCGCAGCCCTAAGGAGCCATGGGGCAACGCTCAGCTCTGTCCCCATCCTATGTGTGGGGCAAGCGTGACGGCAGGACCCAGGGACGGTGCCTCCTGGCTGCACGGTGCAGAGCTGGGTGCTCTCCGTGTCCAGCTCGATGGTGACACCATCATTAAAGGACTTGTGAAAGGCAGGTTGTTGAGCTGGAATTCCTACAGGACTCTGGTCCCAACCACTGGGACACGCTTCAGGACATGGGCTCCCTCTGTGCCCCCTTCCCCTGCAGCCTTTCCACATCCCCACATCCTCGGGGGCTTAGAGCATCAACTGGGTTGGAAATGACCTGCAAGCTCATCGAGTCCAACCGTGATCCCAAGCACTGCCAAGGGCACCACTAACCCATGGCACCAAACCATGTCTTGGCCTCAGTTATCCACAAGTGCTTGGAAATGGGAGAGTTGCTGCTGGATTCCCCTAGTTCTGGGCACTTGGCTTTCCCTTTGCATTGGGCAAGGCAAGGCAGCCCAGCTCCCATCTCCCATCTGTGGTTCTGCATGGAGAGCATAGCCCTGGCTGTCGCTGTTGGTGGCACACAGCCACACTGGTGGCCTTCCCCTGCTGCCATAGAACCATGGGATGGGTTGGGTTGGAAAGGAGCTTAAAGCTCATCCAGCTCCAACCCCTGCTATGGGCAGGGACCCCTTCCACTGGAGCAGGATGCTCCAAGCCCCTGTGTCCAACCTGGCCTTGAGCACTGCCAGGGATGGGGCACCCAAACCTTCTCCATTCAACCCATCCCAGTGTCCCAAAACCCTCACAGGGAAGAGCTTCTGCCTAAGACCCCATCTCCATCCCCCCTTGGGCAGGTCAAAGCCATTCCCCTTGTCCTGTCCCTGCATCCCTGCATCCCAAGCCCCTCTCCAGGCTTCCTGCAGCCCCTTTAGGCACTGGAGCTGCTCTAAGGTCTCCCCTTCAGGACCCTTCTCTCCTCCAGGCTGCCCCAGCCCAGCTCTCCCAGCCTGGCTCCAGAGCAGGGATGCTCCAGCCCTCGCAGCATCTCCGTGGTCCCTCTTGTGCTGTTGCTCCAGAGCTGGATGCAGGATGCAGGATGTAGGATGCAGGATGCAGGATGCACGGCCGGGGGGGGGGTCTCACAGGGCCGTAGAGCAGCCTCATACCTGCCCCTTTACCTGGCCCAGGTGAAGGCACCTGCCCGGTGATGGGCAGCCCCGGCAGCCAATGGCTTTGGAGGAGGAAGGGCTGTGGCCACCTCCGAGTGCGCAGGGAACAGCCCCGGCCAGGGCTGGATCGGGCCCGGAAATCCCAGTCTGCCAAGTGGGATCGGGGCTGCGGTGCTGGGCAGGATGCGGGGCAAGGACGATGAGTACGATTACCTCTTCAAAGGTGGGTCTGCTGCGCTGGCCATGCCTGCAATGAGCTGAGCCCGGTCTCAGCCTCCCTGCGGTGCCCTTGGGGTGGAGCTGGGATATACTGGGATATAACACACAGCGTCCCGTTGATGGGGACCTGCGGGGGGAGATGGGCACAGGTCTGGTGTTGGGATGGAGCTTGCTGCTGTGGTTGGAGATGGTTGAAGCCATGGTTGTGACTGATGGAGGGGTTGGGGGGGGCTGTTTGTGGTCCTTGTGCTAATGCAAGGGCCTTGGTGCTGCTGGAGGGGCTCAGAGTAGATGAATCCTGGGCATGGCTCCTTCCCTGCGGCTCCAGCCTGGAGCTCCAGGCTGTTCCCATCCCCACCTCCAAGCTGGGATGTGATGTGCCAGGGATGTGATGCCCACCGAGTGCCTTAGTGCACGGGGTAGAGGATGCTGCTGGAGTCCTCCTTATCCTTTCTCTGTGAGACCCCCCCCACCGCATCCTGCCCCCAGGCTGGGTCCCGCGGGGGTGCTCCTGCATCCGGGAATGCTCGGAATCGTCAGCGAGGGCATTGAGAAATAACCAAATACCATCAAAATCCACCCCCTTTGAGTCATAAACTCAACAAACTTGATGGGGGAGCTGCGAGATAAAGCGTCCCGGAGCCTGTCCCACTGGGCTCCATAGGGACCAGCCAAGGAGGAGGAGGAGGAGGAGGCGGATAATGCTTCCTTTCAGACCAGGTCTCTTGTGCATCATCAGGGCTGCAAAGAGACCCGGTTGTGCTTGGCCTCTCTGGCCCGGCTGTCTCCACATGGGTCCTGCTGTGCTTTATGTGTATGGAGGTTCCCCATCCCTGGAGCTGGGAAGGAAACTCCTGGCAAGGTCCAGGATTGCTCTTTAGGGGTGTTCCCAGGTGGTTGTGGGTGTCCAGCGGGGCTGACCCTGTGCTTGTGTGTGTGTCCCCCAAAGTTGTGCTCATTGGGGACTCCGGGGTGGGGAAGAGCAACCTCCTCTCGCGCTTCACCCGCAACGAGTTCAACCTGGAGAGCAAGAGCACCATCGGGGTGGAGTTTGCCACCAGGAGCATCCAAGTGGAGAACAAGACGGTGAAGGCTCAGATCTGGGATACGGCCGGGCAGGAGCGGTACCGCGCCATCACCTCCGCGTGAGTCCCTTTGCATCCCCATGGGGTGTCCCCATTGCAGGGCCCTGCTGTGACCCCATCCCCTTGTTGTACCCCAGCTATTACCGTGGGGCAGTGGGGGCTCTGCTCGTCTATGACATCGCCAAGTACCTGACGTACGAGAACGCGGAGCGGTGGCTGAAGGAGCTGCAGGACCACGCCGATGCCAACATCGTCATCATGCTGGTGGGCAACAAGAGCGACCTGCGGCACCTCCGCGCCGTGCCCACCGATGAGGCCAAGAGCTTTGCAGGTACCCGCATCCCCCATCCCCATCCCGGAGCTGGGGCTCGTGGCACCGGTGCGAGCTCACCCTTGTCCTTGCAGAGAAGAATGGGTTGTCCTTCCTGGAGACGTCTGCTCTGGACTCCACCAACGTGGAGACGGCGTTCCATAGCATCCTCACGGGTAAGGGGGATGGCTTTGGGCACTGTGTTCTCCCAGCACCCTGCTGCAGTGGGATCCTGCTCCCTCGGGGGTAGATGAGGGTGTTTGCCCCCTTTGGAGCTGTGTATTTTGGGGGTCCCCCCCACTGACACCCTCACTTCCAGCTCCTGTTTCTCCCCTTTGCTGGCAGAGATTTACCGCATCGTGTCCCAGAGGCAGATCCCAGGGCAACCGGAGGCTGAATTCGGCCCCAGCACCAGCATCGAGCCCATCCGGGTGCTGCCCACGCAGCAGGAGGGCAGGCAGGGACCCTGCTGCCAGAACATCTGAGCACCCCCAGAACCACCCACCAAGTGATGGCATCACCTTTAGCACCCTCTACCTCACTGCAGGCCCCCCTCTTCTGCATCGCTGCCCTCGTGTGCACCATCAGGGTTGCCCTGTGTTTAGGTAGGACCTACACAAACAGCAAGGGGAAAACCCCACCAGGGTCTCTCCCTTTCTCCCTCATTGTTTGGGACCTGGCATCCCTTTGTGTCCCTGCTTCCTCTAACCCTGAAGGCATCACCATGGGGTGACTCAGGGTGGCACTGAGTAAGCGCAAGCATCCATGGGTGCAGCCCTTTAGGGCAGGGTGGGGAGGGGGACACTGGGTGCATCCTTTGGGTTGCACCCAGCCCTGCCCCTTCTGCACCAAGGGCTGGGTGAGCCTCTGGGTGCTGATGGGGCAGCCCTGGGGCACCCTGGTGTGGGCAGGTAGGGACAGGACAAGGCTTGAATCTGCCAGGGGGGAGATGGAGATGAGCTCTGAGGTGGTTCCATGGTTCTAGGATCCTTTCCACTGGGGACATCTCCTAAGGGGGTGCCAAGGGGATGCTGTGGGTGGGCAGTGGTCCCCCTACATGGCCAGAGCCACCCACATGGGACCCCGAAGGCACGATCCTGCCCCACTCCGGTGCCATCACTGGTGGGGCTGGTGACAACCGGGCTGCCACTAGATGGAGCGGGTGCTGCACCCATGGGTGCCGATGGCCCCAGCTTCACTCCCTATTCCCCATAGTGCTGGGTGCGTGTCCCCATCCCAGCGCAGGGTCCGGGGGTCTCTGTCTCTCCATGTTCCCCCCCCCCCCAGTACTCAATTTACTGGGATTCATCCTTGCAATGGGAATCTGGGAATGGGAACCAGCATCCCCACCTCCAGCATCCCACCTCTGCATCCCCATCAGGAAGAGGGAGAGGCAAGAAGGGGCAGCACTTGGGGGTCTTGCTGGAGGGCTTGGGGGTCAGATCCTGCTCCCATAGCACAGGATGAGTGTGGGGGGGGGGTGTGCCAGCTCCATTGGGGGTAACCAGACCCCTCCTTGGGCATTAAACCCACCCCAGCCCCACGCTGCCCGCGATGCCAAGGGCTGATGTCAGCCCTGGCACTGGTACCCAGAAGCTGTGGCTGCCCCATCCATACGGAAGGGGTCCCTGCCCCTGCAGAAGCTTCGAGCTCCCTTCATCCCATTGCATCCCATGGTTCGAGGATTGCCCCCTGCATCCGGAAAGCAAGCGCAGAGCCCGAGTTTCTTAAGTAATAATACTTTAATAAAATTAAGTTCTTAATGTAATTTAGCACATTTAATACATTAACCCTTTCCCTTCTTTGTTTTCTACAAGTTGTGCAACATCATCATTTTAAGTTTTTCTTCTCTTTTCACCTTTTTTTTCCACCCTTCCTTCTCCCCTTACCCTATATATGCCTCAAAACTCAGACGACGAGCCTAACTCTACTCTAGCTTCGGTTATGTCCCTCTCAGGCCTTTCCTTCTGCGTCACGCCGGAGAGATGGGAATACCGGGATGGAACGTGTGATCGGTTTCCAATAGTAACAATCCCTACTACAGGTTTCCTATTGATGTTCAAAGAAAAGAGGAAAAGGGGGGGATGAAGAATCCATCAAAGCAAACACAACGGGAGAGGGAATGGACTTGGAAGGGCCACACAGGGCTGGCTCAGCGCGAGGTTGGGAGTACCACGGAGCAGGACTCTGGGATACAGCACCCGGATGCGGTGGGAGAGCAGATACACACAGACCCTTGTATGGCTTGGAGCGAGGATGAAGGGGAGCTGATGGGATGCTGGGCCGAGCAATAAGCCATGAGGGGCTGCGGGGGGATCCGGTTGGGATGTTTCCCATGGGAAATCCCACCGGGAGCTCTTTGATACCAGGGCAGAGCCAGAGGGAATCTCTGCAGGTCCCAATGGGGGCTGCTCTGGGCATCCCAAGGGATTGATTCCCCTGGAGCTGGGATCAGAGCTGCTCCCCGCCACGGCTCCACGTGCCCTTCACGGCTGCTTAAGGCTGCTTGTAGCCCCGCAGCAAAGCCTCAGCTGCAGAGCAGGATCTGGCCCCTCATTTGGGGCGTTTCCCCCTTTTCTTTCCCATTCTCTTGCATAGAAACCGAAAGGAAAAGGGAAAACGCACCCTGCGATTGGCTCACAGAGGAGCAGAGCATCCCAGGAGCGCATCCCTGCATCCCGGCCCCCAGGAGCTGAGGGTACGGTTGGGAAGCATCACCTCAAGCCCAGCGAACCCATTCTGCCATCAGCAGTGCCACGGGTGGAGGGTGGCTCCATTGGCACCCATGGAGCGACTCCAGCTTTCCCATCAGTGTCACTTCCTTGGGGGTGACTTCCCATCGGCTGCGTTAGCAGCCCTGAGGTGATGCTGGAGCGCATCCAGCGGGATGCTGAAGCCACTTCAGATTCCAACTGAGTCACCCCATTGAGTTCCACAGGAGGAAAGGCAGGAGCTGCCCAGCGTTCCCTATGGGCAAAACTGAGGGAGAACCCAGCAGGGTCGTGGCTGGGTTTTCCACCAGGTCAGCTAAGAGCAGAATGGGACTGGGAGCCTCTATAGGGTGCGAAACCCCACAATGAAACAGGGGTTGCTCCCTAACACCCTAGAAAGGGCTTTGGGAGAAGCAGCCCATCCTGCCTCTACCCCTGCCGGTGCTGACACCGAGGGAACCTTGCAGAGGCAGGATGGGACCCCGCTCTCGCCATACAAGTCTAAAGTGCATCCACTCTGCAGCCCAGGGCATCACCCATGGTCCAATGTCAATCACTGCCTCTTCTTCAAGTATCAAACCAAAAAACATGAGGTAAAACGAAAAGGAAAGAGCAAACAAGAGCCCCTTGGTCACCCTGCGCGACCAGGAGGCTTGGTACCACCGAGCACAACCCCTTCTGCCAGCACAGGAGGTGCTGTGCCCGGCGCTCCCAACCCGCTCGCATTCACAGTGCTATGTGCAGAATGAGAACTGTCTTCGCTTCCTGTCCTAACCTATTGCATGGCTTTGCTGAAGGAATGCTGGTTAAGTGGCTGCCCCCCCCCCCCACCACCACCACAAGCTTGGTCTCCAAGGCTTTTAGGATCCTTAGGGATGCTCCCGACTCAAGGGCATCACCAATGGGTGAGCCAGGACACAGAGGAGAGGAGCAAAAGCTGACCCCGGAGGTAAGCCCCTTTCAAGAGTGGTTTTCTTCTGCTTCTCTAATGGTAACGGCCTTGATGCTGGGTCCTTTGTAACGTGGAAACAAGGGGGGGGGTTGGTGCAGCACTGATGCTCGGGAGCAAAGTGATGGCCTGGCTCTGTGACCCACAAGGACCAGGGTTTAACCTAGTGTGGGGCACATCCTGCCCCTCTCCGCTGGCACTCAGGGATGCTGTGGACCCCACAACGATGATGGATCGAGGCTCCCTCATGGGAGCATCTGGCACTGAAGAGGCCCCAGGGCCCTGGCACCCTGCACGATGCCGGTGCCAAGCGTGGTGCGAGGCTTCCTCCGGCTCCAAGAGAATCCCAAAGGGAAAAGGAAAGAGACAAGAGAGGGAAGAACCCAAGTGGGGGTCCCCTGGTTCAGCGCTGCCCATCACATCACAGAGGGGGCTTCATCCCAGCTTCCTGCCCTGCTCCTTCCCACCCGCTCCTCACCAGGAGACCTCCAAACAGCAGGAAAAGGAGCAGGAATTGGCCCCTTTCTCCTTTTCCCATTGGCAATTCCCTGCTCCCAACCCGGAGGTCGGGATAAGGCAAAGCCCCAAGAGCCTGAGCCGTGATTTACTCAGTGACAAACCAAATCTGCCTCGTTTTAGTGACAAAAAAAGAACCCAAAACCCCCCAAATGTCTCTTTTTTTTTTTCTTAAAAAAACCCACCCATTATTCCATCCCTTTTTTGGTTGGGTTTTTTTTTTTTTCTTTGCTTCAGGAAAAACAGGACCCCCCCAAAAAGATGGGAATTTGCTGGGAAGTTACAAATGATTCCTTGATCTTGCTTGGGAGTTTCGATTACATTCTGCTCTGTCTGGGATCACTTGGCTCTACTATAGATTAAACAATATGGATAGCATCTACTATTTGAACTAGTTAATCTTCTTTTCATCTTTACTCTAGGATTATAGGAAATAAATTTGAACGTTTATTATTATTATTATTATTATTATTTAATACCCATCAACATTTTTCTTTCTTTTTTTTTCTTTTTTCTCCTTTTTTTATCTCCTTTTTGGTTAAACAAAACAAACGACACCACCAAAAAAAAAATAATAATAATCTGCTTTTTAAAACGCTTCTCTGAAAGGCAACAGAGCAGAAGCATCCCCCAAAGCTTCCTGCTTGGAAGGGAGCGGGACATGGGCTGGCTTCATATGGAAGTGCTGGACCCTCCATGCTCCGGAGCTCTTCAATGCATCCCAGCTCGGGTCAAGGTCCTGCAGACCCCATAGGGATGAGGCTGAAGAGCTTCAACGCATCCCAACTCGGGTCAAGGTCCTGCAGACCCCATAGGGATGAGGCTGAAGAGCTTCAACGCATCCCAACTCGGGTCAAGGTCCTGCAGACCCCATAGGGATGAGGCTGAAGAGCTTCAACGCATCCCAACTCGGGTCAAGGTCCTGCAGACCCCATAGGGATGAGGCTGAAGAGCTTCAACGCATCCCAACTCGGGTCAAGGTCCTGCAGACCCCATAGGGATGAGGCTGAAGAGCTTCAACGCATCCCAACTCGGGTCAAGGTCCTGCAGACCCCATAGGGATGAGGCTGAAGAGCTTCAACGCATCCCAACTCAGGTCAAGGTCCTGCAGACCCCATAGGGATGAGGCTGAAGAGCTTCCCCCTGCAAGCACAAAGCCTCCCATGGGGATGCTGGCTCCAGGATGGCTTTTCCATCGGTTGTCTTGGCCATTGGGTGCCCTCTCCGGCTTGGGGGGGAGCAGAAAGGGTGACACTCCCCTATCCAGGATGGCTTGGAGCTGGCCAGGAGCAGTTGGGTCCTGCACAAGCCCTTAGCTCCATAAGGAGGAGGATGGATAGGGGGATA